CAAATTTATCGTATGAATTTCAACAACGAGTAAAACCCATACCACATAGCAAGCTATAATAGGCCATGAAATCACAAATGTTAAACAGTTCAATTGCCATTGGGAAAACTAATGGCCCGATTTAAGTTCAAAACAATAAACGAAAAACACATATGTTATATTGCAGCAAATGACAACTAACAATTCACAGGTTCCTGACTTTGGACAGGCACGTGCAGAAAGTTATGGTCGCATTGTTAAACAATTTTGCAGGCACCCAAACCTTTCCCTAACCTCCCCCAACCTTGGACAGTGCTGTAACAGCAATTGCAACATTTGAACAAGTATAAATATCAATTTAAAAGGGCTTTACCCGTCAGGTCATTACACACACAAAACTAACAAAAATGCAAAGGACACAAATTAAAGCACATGACAGTTACAGTTGTACATGTACTGAAAGTTAGTCTGTAAATTCAGAAATAATTGCGTGCATTTATCATGTTTATTTTTGAGATTTTTGAAGAATTAACAAAAAATGAGAGTTTAAAGATTGCAATTTTAGGAAAAGCCACATTCAGATGTATGTAATAACTTTTTGATATCAGAATGCAAGTTCTTAATTATTATTGGGATACTCAAGTAGTCCAATTATTCACTTTGATAAAAACCTCGCAATAATTTCTGAATTTACAGTACTTAACTACTTTTTAACATGTTTAAGAATGTCATTTATCTGGAATAATTGTAAAGAAAACATGACCTTGTGCAATATCTAAATAATTAAAGGTACAAAATGTACGGCACTGCTAGATTATAGTTATTTTGTACACTGAAAAAAAGCATATTAAAATCAAGGATAGTTTTAATCAACAATGATCAAGGATACAAATCCTTGTTTTAATTAATTCTTTAAGAAAATATTCATTTAGGTGACAATACGGATTAAAATGTATTTCAACATGTTCAAAGAACAATCGTACATTTAAAAATAAAAAAAATTGTTAAAATGTGTTGTCATGGTTATAAGCCATGTAAGCATGATAAGAAATATATATATGCAAAGAAATGATGTTTTAAGTTCATTATTTATAATTTACGTACATAATTGCATTAGAAGTTTGTGAAGCTGAAATTTAAAAAAAAATGTTGATCTTTTGCTGCATATTAGGGCTTAAATTAAAATATTGTTTGTTTGCAGTTTACCGACCAACCCTTGTAAATCCCCCCGACTGTGAAAATTTTATTGTCTCAAATTTTAAGAAATTATTTTAAAACTTCTATTGCCAAGATCCGGAAATTCAGGTCATTTCCTGAATTGATTTAAGTCAAGGTCGATTACACGTTTTAAGTTCGGTTTTTCTTGCCTTCCCGTCAAGCGTTCATGTGACCGTTTAATGATAAAGCACATGGAAATTGTTTACAGGTATCCATGAAGTTATGGAGGAGTACTTTACGCTGTCGACTTCTGTCAATTTTAAGACAAATAACAAACAAAAAAGTTTAATAGTAAACTGTTTATACATGTTATACAGATTCAGGCACATGGAATGATTTCTTTGATGATATCATTGAAGAAGATTCAGCGGATATTGACAACTGACACGATAACTCATCTTTGTCAACTTTTTGTCTCAAACAAATCGGGTACAGAATCTTTTGAGCCTGACTTTATGGAACCAATTTCAGTGGTTAAACAATTCGACAGCAGTTTGAAGTATGTCATATATATTTTATATAAATCGTTGTGAAGAAGACCAAGATGAAACCCCTCCTCCGTGAATATATGGATACCTGTAAACATGCCTGTACGGAGAAAGAGCTCATTTAAAATGTAAATGGATAGAGACCATGTCAAATCAATGAGAAGCAACCCAAAATACACAAAGATGAAGAGAAAATGAATGATAAGCTTGAAAAATAAATATACTCTCTCTATATTAAATCTATCTTCGATTGCAATGAGTATGCTCCTTTAGGATAAGGGAGGCTGCCCCACTCATTGCAACTATTCTCTTTCTTACAATATATATCAAATATACCCAAACTTTGTGGCCTGTCACTGTGTGAATTGAATTAAAGCATGTTCTTAGGAGCTATGCTGCCAATTTTTTTTATGCAGTCAAAACATTTCAGTACAGACCATTTACTTTAATGGGGTGCTATGGATTTCACCCCAAGCTAGTAAGTTTTCTTTGGTTTTCATTTAAGCCTGGCATCAACATATCTTTCAAAATATAATCTTATTGCATATAATTAAATATTGTTAGAAATATGAAAACAGTCTTTTTTAAGTTGCCCTTTTTTTCAATTGAGGAAGATTCAATGGCTGTTTTTTTTTTATTAAAAATACACTCTTCAATACATTGTCTTATAAATCTTTAATATCTACATTTTTCTGATGAAAATACTCTTACTCATGAATACATTCTAGTCAAGAAGCATATATGTCCGTGAATATATTTCTTTAAAACAGTTCTAGTCATTCCTTGTTTATAAGTGTTTCAGTATTTAATAATACCATATTTTATGTCATAAATTGAATTAAAGTTTCAGTTTTAGTTAAAAAGTTTTTTTTTTATCTGATAATGCCTGTTCATTTCATGTTGGTTTATTTAGTGTTCATGGTGTTTGTTGTTTTAAAATAGGTTTTTTTTTTCTTAACAAGAAACTTGGTTTGTGTAACTGCTTGTTTAACAATGTTTAAACTTTTTGGCTGATAAAATAAAATATTTTTTCTACCTACCGACCCTTCAGTCTGAAGGTACAGTTGGGAAACTGCAAACAAACATATTTTTAAGGTTGGCCTACATGTACTTGATTAAAAGAAATTGGAAAAATTCATATACAACATGTACATACAAAATCTAAAGATCTTTCAGGTCAAAAATTTCTGGAGTGTTCCACATAGTCGTATGCCATGTTAAATAGCATGTTACAATTTCCCAAAATATACTTATTTTTTTTAACATTTAATGTCTTTAATCTTTGCTGCATATCAATCGATTCCATTTGAATTTTTCCCTTGAACTTCTCTAATCTTGCTACATACATGTACATAGGGATAATTGGCGTGTTCCAGACAGGTATATACATGGTAAAGAGGTTTCACTTTATATATTAAAAGAAGATGCGGTATGAGTGTCAGTGAGACCACTCTCCATCTAAGTCACAGTATATAAAAAGTTACAAAGTTTGATTAACTTGTTTCTAAACCCTTTTGCATATTGAAGCAAATAAAGTAGGTTTAAACTATAATACAATACATATATAGAAAACTGTTACAAAATGATGTGGATGTGTTTAACCATAGTTGCCAAGAACATTTTTTATGCCCCTTCAACTGAAAGCTGGTGGGGGGGGGGGGGGGGGAACTGTTTTACCATTGTCGTTGGTTTGTACGCCCTATTATGGGTATATAGATATTCCACACGACTCCTCCTACAGTTAGATTGCAACCTAGGTCAATCATGGTCAAGTAAATGAATTTATTAGCAGTTTTCAATGTTAATTTTTCTACTTAAGTTAATTTGATAGAAATTAATTGTGATACATCAATGATATTTTCTGAAAAGTTGCATATCTATCCAAGCATATCAGTTTGACAACTATTTTGAGGTCCTATCCCCAGTATGTTCATGATTCAGCAACTTCACATTAATAAGCAATGTTGCTGTCTATCAGATTGTCTCTTCTGAATTTTTTTTATGCAGAAAGGCAAGACATATCTCTGTGTCAACAGTTTATTTATTATAAATAAGAAGATGTGGCATGCGTGCCAATGAGACAACTCTCCATCCAAGTTACAATGCATGAAAAGTTAATATTTTATAGGTCAAAGTACGGCCTTCAACACAGAGCTTGTAAATTATGTTGACATTTACCAACATTCTTTTCCTAATAAATAAAGAAGATGTGGCATGCGTGCCAATGAGACAACTCTCCATCCAAGTCACAATGTATGAAAAGTTAACAATTATAGGTCAAAGTACGGCCTTCAACACGGAGCCTGTAAATTATGTTGACATTTACCAACATTCTTTTCCTTATGAATAAAGAAGATGTGAGGTCAGTGGCGGATCCATAGGGGGGGGTGTTCCGGGGGTTGAAACCCCCCCTTTTTTTACTATCAATGCATTTGAATGGGGACATATAGTTGGAACCCCCCCCCCCCCTTTATCCTGGGTTAGGAACCCCCCCCCCCCCCTTTTATAAATGGCTGGATCCACCCCTGGAGGTATACATCAATGAGACAGTACAGCATATATACTTCTTGTACATGTTGTATATATATAGTATATATACTTCTTGTACATGTTGTATATATATAGTATATATACTTCTTGTACATGTTGTATATATATATATAGTATATACTTCTCGTACATGTTGTGCCCCAAGGGTGACTGGGGAATAGAAGTATGGTCACCATTGGTCTTCCTCCGACCGGCAGTAAAACCCGTGCTAAAGTGGGGCGTCCGTTTGGCTGTGCGGGATGTACAAATTTGCAGCCACGTCCGGTCAGAATGGGGACGTTAAATCCGATGCCTCGTGTAAAGAGAGTGCACGCTCTTTGCACGTTAAGAACCCTTGCAACAACTCTTTTAGGGGTCCGTAGGTGACCTGTTGCAAGGCTAAATTTCTATCCAATATACCCTCATTTCCCGTGGCAGTCTAAATTTCTCCGACCTTAATCCCTTAATCTATTACAGAACCTACCTATTGTATTTATTGTGAACTTGTTCTCGTCCTGAATATGCATGAAATATTTGCACTGGACGTTAAGCAACCAACAATCAATCAATCAATCAATAGTACATGTTGTATATCACATGTATATATATAGTATATACTTCTTGTACATGTTGTATATGTATAGTATGAAATTAGAATTACCCAAACATGCTGATGCATAAATACAGTCTACAGAGAATGTTAAAATAGATATATGTTATGTGATTTTTGCAGAAAGGTATCAAAAGGTTTATGTCTAAAAAATGTTTGTTCCCTTACAGAGTCGTACAAGAACTCACATACTGTACTGGAGATAAACATTATCAATAAGATGTATGAGGGAGGAGAGGATTTAGTCACAATCAATGGTACTCTACAGAGAAACATAAACACACAGATTGGTAAAACACTTCATAAATGTGATGTTTGTGCCAGAGAATTTAGTCAAAGTAATCACTTAAAGAGACATGAGAGAACACATACTACTAGTGAAAAACTTCATAAATGTGACGTTTGTGCTATAGAATTTAGTCAAAGTAGTCACTTAAAGAGACATGTGAGAACACATGTTGGTGAAAAACCTCATAAATGTGATGTTTGTGATAGTAAATTTTCTATAAGTAATAACTTGAAGAGACATATGAGAAGACATACTGGTGAGACACCTTATAAATGTGATGTTTGTGCTAGTGAGTTTTCTCGCAGTGATGAACTAAAGGCACACATGAGTACACATACTGGAGATAATCCTCATGACTGTGATGTATGTGGTAGAGGGTTTAGACAGGTTAGTAGTTTACAGACACACATGAGAACACATACAGGTGATAAACCTCACGACTGTGATGTATGTGGTAAACTGTTTAGTCAGCATGCTTCTTTACAGAGACACATGAAAATACATACTGGTGATAAACCTCATGACTGTGATGTATGTGGTAAAAGGTTTATTCAGCATAGTAGTTTACATATTCACATGAGAATACATACAGGAGATAAACCATATAACTGTGATGTATGTGGTAAACGGTTTAGTCATCATGGTGCTTTACAGAGACACATGAGAAGACATACAAGTGATTAACCTCGTGACTGTGATCGGTATAGTCTACATGATAGTTTACAGTGACACATGATAATACACAAAGATGACAAACCTCGTGACTGTGATGTTGTGGTAAACAGTTTATTCAGCTTGGTAGTTAAAAGGGACACATGAGAATACATACAGGCGATAAACCTCATAACTGTGATGTATGTGGTAAATGGTTCAGTCATTTGCAGATTCACATGATGAGTAAACATCATGTACATACTGGAAGTAAAACTCATGACTGTGTGGTAAACGGTTTATTCAGCTTGGTACATGTAATTTACAGATTCACATGAGCATGATGAGAACACATACAGGGAATAAACCTCATTACTGTGATGTATGTGGTAAAGGGTTTAGTCAGCTTTGTAGTTTAAAGAGACACATGAGAATACATACGGGTGATAAACTCATGACTGTGATGTATGTGATAAAGGGTTAAGTCAGCTTGGTATTCGTAATTTACAGATTCACATGAGAACACATACAGGGGATAAACCTTATGACTGTGATGTATGTGGTAAACTGTTTAGTCGGCTTTGTAGTTTGAAGAGACACATGAGAATACATACTGAGGATAAAGCAGATAACGCTCACAATGAGATATATGGGGTTGAGGTTCAGTGTGAGTGATATTTACATAGACACATGAGAACTTGTAGTCAAATCAAGGCAAATCTAATTTTTGTGCCAAATGATTTATTGGAAGAAAACCATTTTAAGACTTGCAGAAAACACATGTACATTTTTTACTTGTGACAAACATAATAGATATTGTACAAGTTGTTTTCAGAAGAAATGCATTAAAGAGGCACATGAGAACACATGCTGGAAATAATTATTAAAACTTATAATTTATGTGATGTATTTATTAGGGGGTTTAGTAATAATGGAAACTTACAGACACATGAACTGAGAACATATACCTGTATACTGTGATGTTTTAATCATCATGGGCCAAACATTTGAAATAATGACTCATACAGATACATAAGAACACATACTGGTTAATTATAGTCTTTAAAATGTGATGTATGTAGTAGATGTATTTTTAGAATTGAACCCGTCAGAAGAACTCAGGTGATTTACATGTATACATATTTGATAATGCATAGGTTAAAGTTGAATTGTATATATATACATATTGTTTACCAAATGAATGTTATTTCTTTGTTTAAGGATCAGATGAATATCCATGAACATGATGAATATATGAGAGTTCATCCGGGTATTAAACTATGTTAAAATATTGTGATATGACAATGTCATGAATGTATGAGAGAGTACATCCTGGTATTAAACTATGTTAAAACACTGTGATATGACAATGTTATTAATGTATGAGAGAGTGCATCCGGGTATTAAACTATGTTAAAACATTGTGATATGATAATGTTATGAATGTATGAGACTCAGAGAATGCATCCGGGTATTAAACTATGTTAAAACATTGTGATATGACAATGTCATGAATGTATGAGAGTAAATCCGGGTATTAATCTGTGTTATATTTAAAACATCAATTTTGTGATATGACAATGTCGTAAACGTTTGAGAGATAAAAAAATAAAAATAAGAAAATGTGGTATGATTGCTAATGTCAGAGGCAACTCTACACAAGAGACCAAATGACACAGAAATTAACAACTATAGGCCACCATACGTCCTGCAACAATAAGCAAAACCCATACCGCATAGTCAGTTATAAAAGGCCTGAAATGACATATATATCATGTATATAAAACAATTCAGACAAGAAAACTAACAGCCTAATTTATGTACAAAATAATGAACATAAAACAAGTATGGTACACAAAAACAAACGGCAACCACTGAATTACAGGCTCCTGAATTGGGACAGGCACATACAGAATGTGGTTGGGTTGAAATATGTTTGGCGGGCTCCCAACCCTCCTAAGTTCATCTGGGTATTAACATGATTAAACTGTTTTGAAACAATAATTGTGATATAACAATGTCATGAATGTATGAGAGAGTGCATCCGGGTATTAAACTATGTTAAAACATTGTGATATGACAATGTCATGAATGGAGAGAGTGCATCCGGATATTAAACTATGTTAAAACATTAATTGGGATGATAAGCTTTTATTTTCTACATTTTTTTTTAATTTTGATTTGTATATTTTTTTTTCTCTTATTTTGATTTTTTATTACATGTACCTCTTGAACAGTAATATATCTTGTCATGTTGATAATAATAAATTGAACTACTTGACTGTAAATTAACTTTGCCAGTGTAAATATATGTTTTTGATTGTATTGTGATGTGTGTGTGAGGGCCTCAGGGAAGATTCGTTTGTTGTAACTTACTTTGTTTACCCTCTTTAAATAAAGAATTTATACTATAATTATTATAATTTTTATTATTATAATTGTATGGGAGTTCTTCCAGGTATTTAAATATGTTATAGCATTAATTGATTGATGATATTTATCGTCACTTTCATCATGTTCATCATTATAAGCTAATTGTGGAAGCCCATTTTTGTCTCGCCTGCGACGAAAGTTTGCGGAACATAGGTATTACCATCCGGTGGCGGCGTAAACTATTTGAATAAAGCTTTATATTTCAGAAGGTAGAAGACATGGATGCTTCATATCTTGTATGCAGATACCTTATGTTACGAAGTTTCTGTCTTTCATATGTTCAATGTCATTGACCTCATTTTCATGGTTCAATGACTGCTTGAAAAAAAGAGTTTTTTTTGTAATGTGAATTTCTTACTTATGTGTAATAGGATAACTATATTTGGTATATGGGTTTCTTGCAACGTCTACATGTCCGTCAGACAGGATTCACCTGACCTCGACCTCATTTCATGGATCAGTGATCAAGGTTAAAGTTACGTGATTAGGTCCGTTTCTCAAATACTGTAAGCAGTAGGATAACTATATGTGGTGTATGGAATGACTGTTATGGGTACATGTCAGTCTGGCAGGTTTCATCTGATATTGACCTTATTTTCATGCTTCATCGATCAATGTTAAGTTTTTTGTGTTTTGGTCTGTTTTTTCAAGTACTTTAAGCAACAGGTTAACTATAATTGGTGTATTGAATGATTGTAAGGTATACATGTAGTTCTTAGCCAGTATCACATGACCTTGACTTCAATTTCATGGTTCATTGGTCAATTTTAAGTTTTTGTCTGCTTTTCAAGTACTATTAGTAATAGGTCAACTATATTTAGTGTATACAATGATTGTAAGGTATACATGTAGTTCTATCTAGTATCATCTGACCGTGACCTCATTTTCATTGTTCATTGGTCAATGTTAATTTTTTGTGTTTCAGTCTGTTTTTTTTCAAATTCTTGATGTAATATATAGGTCAGCTATATTTGGGGAATGAAATAATTGTAAGGTGAATGTGTCTGTCTGGCAGGTATTATCTGACCTTGACCTCATTTTCAGGATTCAATGATACATTTTCGTAATTTTGTCAGTCGATCAGATACTATAAGCAACAGGTCAACTATATTTGGTGTATTGAATGATTGTGAGGTTTACATGTCTATCTTGCCTGGGTCATCTGACCATGACCTCATTATGATCCATTATCATAGAACATTGACAATGTTAAGCTTATGTGATACTTGTGGTAAAACCTTCATGTTACAGACTTTCAACATAAATTTAGTGATAAGTAAAACAGGCGAGACATTTCACCTCTGCTGGTGGACTGATAGTCCCCGAGGGTATCACCAGCCCAGTAGCCAGGACTTCGGTACTGGCATGAAAATACGGATTTAGCATTATAGAAATTTCCTGTTACAAAATGTTTGAAATTATTTAAAATTAAGGAATGTATCTCCCTCATGCAAAGCTCTGATTCCCTGCCTGGCTTTGGCTATACTTTTTTGTCCTTTTTGGCTTATAGCTCTTCATCTTTTTAATAAGCTTTTTATTTTCAAATATTTTGACCTCGAGCATCACTGAAGAGACATTGATTGTCGAAATGCGCATCTGGTGCAGAAACATTGGTACCGTTCATGTTATTCAGCGTGCGCTCTCTTGTTATTGGTGGAAGAAGCCGGTGTTCCCGGAATGAACCAACGACCTTCGGTAGAAAAACAGACATACCTAGTCAATTAAGATTTGAGTCGAATGCATTCTGGTTTTAAACTATGATAAACATTTGAAAGTATTAAAACCTTGATAATAGGTGTGTGATTAAGAATTAAGGTTTTATAGAAAACTTGTAGTCACGTGAGAGTAGGCACAGCGATAACACATGTGATGAAGGTGTCAACTGACCGTCGACCGTCAGAACTTACAGCGAAAAGAAAATGCATGTAAAGGTCATCGTACAGCCTCAACAATGAGCAAAACCCATACCCATACTTGGAGACATGTGAACACATATAAATGTTGTGTAAATGTTCAATAGGACAATGCCAGTCAGAACTTGGAGACATGTGAACACATATGAATGTGATGTAAATGTTCAATAGGACAATGGCAGTCAGAACTTGGAGACATGTGAACACATATAAATGTGGTGTAAATGTTCAATAGGACAATGCCAGTCAGAACTTGGAGACATGTGAACACATATGAATGTGATGTAAATGTTCAATAGGACAATGACAGTCAGAACTTGAGACATGTGAACACATATAAATGTTTTAGTAGACGTTCAATGTTTCAATTCAATTCGATTCAATTAAGTTTTATTTAAAGTCGATACTTAATATAATAAAATTGAGAATGAAAATGAGAAAATGTGTCAAAGAGACAACAATCCGACCAAAGAGCAAAACACAGCATATGGCCACCAATACGTCTTTAACTATGGCGTACGGAAAGGGTCAAAAGTAAAAAGAGGTGCATAAGCTATAAAATATAGCTTATGCTGCTTTGTAGCATAAGCTATATTTGACGTCCCAAAAGGGTCAATATATATTTGTCTGGTTATGCTGCATTTTTATCGCATATGCTATATCACAAACATTGACTATGCTATATTTTTAAATTGTAGCATATGCTGTACTATTTCAAACATATCATTAAAGGGTCAAAACTCGAAAGTAGCATAGGCTGTATAATTTATTTTGATTAGACTGTATATCTTACTGTTGGAAGGCGTGTTTAACGAATCTAGTCAATTATCATCACTAAAGTCTCCGCCCTTTTTTAGCTCACCTGGCCCGAAGGGCCAAGTGAGCTTTTCTCATCACTTGGCGTCCGTCGTCCGTCGTCCGGCGTCGTCCGTCGTCCGGCGTCGTCCGGCGTCGTCCGGCGTCGTCCGTCGTCGTCCGTCGTCGGCGTAAACTTTTTACATTTTGAACTTCTTCTAGAGAACCACTGAATGGAATGAAACCAAACATGGCATGAATGTTCCTTATGAGGTGCTGACCAAGTGTTGTTACTTTGTAGCCGATCCATCATCCAAGATGGCCGCCAGCGGGGGACTTAGTTTAACATAGGACCCTATGGGAAATGCATACAAATGACTTCTTTTAGAGAACCACTGAATGGAATGAAACCAAACATGGCATGAATGTTTCTTATGAGGTGCTGACCGAGTGTTGTTACTTTGAAGCCGATCCATAATCCAAGATGGCAGCCAGCGGGGGACTTAGTTTAACATAGGACCCTATGGGAAATGCATACAAATGTCTTCTTTTAGAGAACCACTGTATGGAATGAAACAAAACATAGCATGAATGTTCATTAGGAGGTGCTGACCAAGTGTTGTTACTTTGTAGTTGATCCATCATCCAAGATGGCTGCCAGCAGGGGACTTAGTTTAACATAGGACCCTATGGGAAATGCATACAAATGACTTCTTTTAGAGAACCACTGAATGGAATGAAACAAAACATAGCATGAATGTTCCTTACAAGGTGCTGACCAAGTGTTGTTACTTTGTAGCCATTCCATCATCCAAA